TTAAGACTATTGTATTTATATAATTATATTTATTTGAATAAATATTAAATAACAATATTTTTAAAAAATATTAAGTAACAATTATTTATATATAAATAAATATTAAATAATAATGATTATTTAAATATTTAAATAACAATAGTGATTTAAAACAATTCTCCTATAAATTCTCCCTATAGTTAAAATAAAATATCAATACATGTAATCATGATTGATGATTGACTAAGTACTATAATCTTTTGATTAAAAGTAACTTGTTACTATTATGGACAATTAAATCATGATAAATATTGTTTAGCAGATCTTATATTAATGAAACAAATATCGTGACAACTTGGCTTGATTGAATTTTAAAGCTTTAGTGAAACTTTAAATTTAATAATTTATAGTTTAACTTTGCTAAAAAAAAATTGTCATCAGGCTTTTAATTGTATTTTGTATCAGACATATTCTCTAACAAATTAAATAAATTATATTCGGTACAAAATATAATTAAAAGCCTGATAACAAATTTTTTTCTTGTAATATTTATTTGTATATATTAATTGTATTATCTCGATAACTACTATGCTAAATTTGATAAAGTTATTAAAATTTATTTGTTTTTAATTAATGTTTTAAATTGTAATTTTAAAATTTTAATATTTCTAATTTAAGTATAGTTTTAAAAAAATATAGTCATGTATAATTATAATAATAAATAAAATAATTTTGGTTAGAATATATTAATTTTTTTTTACTGTAATTATTTATATGATATATAAAGATTATTTTGAATTATAGTATATTAATAAATTATTTTTTTTACAAAATTTTTTTATAAAATTTTTTAAAAAATTTTTATTATTACTATACCTAAACAAAAAACAAACCAAGGACCTTGTTCTATTCACAATTGTAACAAAAAATCTACAATATTTAGTAGTTTAACTGATAATGCTTTTGCAAAAGTATTAGCTATAGGAACTCTTCAACAATATTCATATTTGCAAATAGATCAACAAATTTGTAATGCTCATTATATGGAAATTGTTGAAAATGCTTGGAGCAATTATAGAAAAAATTTTCAAAATAATATTGTTTTAAATAATATTATTGAAAATAATAATTTTATTGGTAGATATTTAAATTTTATTTATCATAGTTTTTGAAATAGTTGAAAATTGCAAATAAAGTTTTTTTGACAAATAGTTAAATATCTGAATACTCGATAACCTTAGCATGTTAATTGAATATAACCAATCTGTTTAACTATTGTTTAATAATAAACAAAATTTAAATCAATATCCAATTAACATACTAAGATAATCAAGTATTCAAGTGTTTGAGTATTTGTTAGAAAAAACTTTATTTGTAATTTTTAACTATTTTAAAAATTACAATAATTATATAAAATTTTATTTATAATTTCAAATTTGATAACAAAAGGAAAAAGAAAATTTATAATTTATATTTTAATTATTTTTAGATCCATTACCACAATTATCTCTTACTGATAAAATAAAAAAAATGATAACTATAATATATAATAAGCAAGGAAAAGAATCAGCTACTCTTGTACTTGAACCTAATAATTTTAAGAAAATGCTTGAAGAATCTGATTCTGATTTAATTAGATTTTTTGATGAAATATGTAAGATTATAATACCATTAAACTGAGCATTAAATTTGCAAGAAGATGCTAAAAAAAAGGTTGTAGTAATTTTTTATTTAATTGCTGATCTTCATAATATACATGCTAATCAATTTAAATTGGAGCTTAGATTATATCTTGTAGCTTGTGGAGTTTCTTGTGAAACAATTAATACTTTAAGTAATGCAGGAATTTCTGTTACTAATAAGACTGTTTATAATAATAAGAAAAAAATTGCTGCACAACATCCATTAAAGGTTGAAGAATATTTTATTAACAATGTAAGTAAATTTTTTTAAATATTTAAAATAAAGCTATATAACTAAAATTTTTATATATTATTTTTAAATATTTT